TATACAGCAAACTCTGGTCTTATTTGTGTGTTGTTTTTTTGTTGTTGTTGTTTTTGAGGTGCTTAAAATCTTTCTTCTTGGGTGGCTTATCCCTTGACATAAATTTGAGGTCAGGTTGGGTGGGGCTTAGAGCAACTTGATCTAGTGAAATATGTTCTTGCCATGTGAGGAGTGGTTGACTTAGATGGTCTTTGAAGGACCCTTTCAACAAAAATGATCCTCTGATTCTGTAATATGACAGCAAGCATTACTAGACCATCTCATTTCAGAATTTCAGCTTCCACTGGTAGCATACGCCTCAGAAACAGGTTTTAGAGACGTGGTTATTACCTTGCTCTGTAACTTGAAATTTCCTCATGCAAATGTATGTGACATCAATACCTCTGCTGAAAAGAGGCTAACTTTGTGTTCTTGCAAGAGAACAAGTACTTCAGGGATAGCAGCTTTCTGTCCTGCATCCTAAACTATAGCAAGAAGTGAATGCTTCTCTCATGTCCTACAGGGAATCAGAATGAATGTGTTCTTCAAGCCTGCTGCCATTTGAGCTGGCCTTGTGAACTAGTGTTCCAAAGTAGCAAGAAAGTAGTTCTGAGACATCTAAAGATAGGTAATGAAAGTGAGCTTGAAGTATTTATTGTGCAACTTCACAGTGCTAGCAGTATCTTTTGAGGCTTCTGTTGCAGTAATAAAAGTACAGAGAGCTAAAAGGGGAAGCAGCGCTGAAACATCTCATGCTCACATTTAATGACCTCACTTTGTGGTCATTAAAGATGATGCTTTTCCCCCCTCCTAGCTATTCACGTTCAGAATTCAGGGACTTGAAAAGTCTTAATTTCAACAGAATCACTTTCCATGAGAACTGCACATCTGATATTTGCACTGGAGTGGGTCTCCCTAATAAAGTACTAAAAGCTGCCACTGTGGATGGGCCGAGAGTTTGATCCTACTTCCCAACCAGAATTCTGGGCAGAAAACTAATTTTGTGTTGTATCTCAGTAGGATGTCAATGAGAAATCATGTGCATGAGGAATCCCATCTGAAACTGCCCATTTCCTGTTGTTTGTACTGAGCACTAGTGAGCAGTGTAGCTCACTAGCAGGCTGAAAAGTTTGTCAGAAGTAGCAGAATGCTATTTGCTGTAGCTGAAAGGGAGGAACAACTTTTGTGTCGACATTAAAAGAAGCCTCGTGCTCTGTTGTTGTGGTTTCTGGTAATGAAATTAGTCCTTATTTGGCTCTGAATTCACACTGCAATTCCTTCTTTTATCTTAAACTGTTATTCATTTCCTTGTAGGATGCAAAAGCTTGTGAAGCCATCAGCTGACAAAAAGTATGTGGACTTGACAGTATCGTTTGCTCCAGAGACTGATGGAGATGAAGACTTGCCAGGGCCACCAGTGAGATACTACTTTGTTCAGGAAGACAATTGATGGTAGAGATACAGAAGTCACTCCAGGACCATTTGTTTTGAAAGGAGTGTGCTAATTTTCAGCTATTAAAGATGGTACTATCCTTTTTTTTTTTTTTTTTTTGGTGAAGCCTTAGTTAAAACAAATGATGAAAGTTGGTGGCTTTGCGCTGAAGACAAACTGGATTTGTTTCATCTGTTCCCATTATCTTCAAACTAGTTTGCTCAAAGGAGGATTGGTCACTCTACAAGATGGAATGTCCAGTACAGTCCTTACCTTGAAAACCAAGATTTATGTTCATTAGTGGGGAGCTGAAGAAAGCAAGAAGAGTGGTGAACGGAATGAATTGTCCTTGTGTATAAGTTGAGCTGCTCAGAGAAGAGTACAAAAACTGGGGAAATGGCTATCTTATGATACTCCTGGTGTTCTAAGAACATGTCAAATCCATTTCACGTGTTACTTCATTCTCAAATGAGAATTCAGACTTGGCATCCACATGAGAGATAATCCATTCAAAATGTTTAAACATCCACTTAAAAGCAAATGCATTTTTCTGTTTTGTTGGTGGTGCTCTCTTCTGAACTGTAAGTGATGCCGCATGTCAGAGTGGCTGCTCTGTCAGTCTCTATATGGCAACGTAGGGAGCCAGGTCTTGAATAGGTGTAAATTGTCATAACTTCCCTGAAATCAAGACAGCTGGAGTTGTTCACTGTATGCACTAAGACTGTTCCTCGGGGAAAACTGCAATATGGGGAAAGTGGAACCCTATCGGAGAGCTGAGTTAACACTTCAGACAATAAAACTTTGTCTTCAAGAAAGAGAAAATAGTCGGTGTGGTTGAGCCTTTCTGCCCTTACCTAATTAAGAGTACTGAGGCAAGAAATTACTTCGAAAGAGGTAAAGGCAAATGGCCCTGGATGATTGTCACAGCAAATGATGTTCCCTTGGCTGCTCCTTCTGGTACCATTTCTTTATAGTGAATGATTATGCTGCACACGTGTCCACAGTGTGAGTCTGAGTTGCAGTACACTGAATTGGTATCATCTCAATCTGTTAGTAGGATATCTGGTATAAAGAATATGCTTAAATAATTAAAAACTAATTTTACATTGCAGGAGGCAGAGGTGCGTTACAGAAGCACCATAACACCACATTATCTTTTAAACATGAGATAATGAAGCTGATAGTTTGGGTGGGGTTGAGGGTAGCTTTATTTTATTATTCCCTAGTGATGAGAGTAAAGTGGGGTTAGGATAAAAACAGATCCTACAAACTAGAAAAAACCTTGCGATGTTTTTAAGCTTCAGAAATGGAGAATGCTCATCTCTGAATCCTCCAGATGTTGCAAAAGGGTGTTGACTACTTAGCCATTTATCCTTGAGCATCTCTTATTAAGATTTAGGGATATTTTCACATTTAATGAACATTACTGCTTGGGAATTTTACCTGTTTTTCCTTTCTCAGACAGTTGTAGCCAGAAACAGTGGATATTAAGCTGGTCACTTGAACAACGAGATATATGGAACTGAATATCTGGAATCAACATAATTATTTGGGATTTTGTCTTACATGTGGAATATATTTGTGAAGGTATATATAGTTTTACAGTCAGTAGAGTTCATAGATCTCATTTTCTAGATTAGTAATAGTACGTTTTAAAGTAGCCTATTTCTTTAAGTAAAAACTTAATATTTTTTGAAACTGGACAAAAGATTACATTTGGAGCGCAAAGGTGGCACAAGCAGACAGTAAGTTTGCACTTTAAATAACAACTGCAATATGTTTGCCTGTGACAACATTAGAGCCTAAACTAAAATTGCTGATTATTACTAAGGATCACTTACTTAAATGGTCAGGTTAAAACAAAGCACTGTCACCTCTCACAACTATGAGCTGGGGAAAGAAATGAATTTCTGAGTGGGTGCACACACTGGTGTGCTCCTGCTTTTGAGGTATGCAGCAGAGCAAACTAGTATTAGTCTCGCTATTTTGCTTGAAGGCTACCTGAAGGACCTCAGGTAAAGTTAACAGAATGACTCTTGCAGATAACGGTGCATACAGCTTTGTGAGACCCTTGCTAAAAATTCCACGTGTAGGCTGGAGCAGAACTGACTGGTACTGCTCTTATTGAGTGTATGTAGGATTTGTGTCCATTCCACAGATGGATTCTTCTCAATTTGAGACAGAAAAACTGAGAAAGCACATCTCCAGATACTTCTAGCAGACTTTTAAAATCTTCTGAAAGTAAGTTAACTTCTTAATAAGATATTACCTAAGGGAACTTCATATTGAAGTGGACACGTCAAGTGGCTCTTAAAACGTTTTTTCACATTTTGAAATGAATAGCTTTCTGAGTAGCTGATAGCTGTGATGTAAATGCATTCACTCACATGAAGTTAGGTGATTCAGTGAGGATTTGTTTGCAGCCCATTTCTCAATCAAGTACTGCTTTCTGCCAGCATTTCCACCAAGTGTTCAGTGGGCTCACTCAAACTGGGCAAGCGAGCTGTGGGCTGGGAGTTTTTCATTCCAGATCTGCACTGTTGTCAGTACTGGTGTAGTGCTGCCAGTGCAGAGATGTGTTACACCACCTGGATCTCACAACTGCTTTTTGTCTTTGTAGCGAAAGCTTGTGAGTGTCTAGGACTGATGCTGCGTTCTTGTGCAGCAGCTGGAACAAGGCTGTAATAATGAGGAAGCAGCTACCTTTGTGCTCAAGTACATTGAGCAATCCTTCAAAATATTCTTTGCAAGAGCAGTTGATTTACAAAGATTAAATTTTAAATTAGCATTAAAGATCTTTCTCATTCAAATGCCTTTTACACTGGTTTCCCCATAATAAAGAGCACTGGTTTTCCCCTTAAAGAGCATGTTTTCATTCTCCCTTTTCCAAATACATGCAGTGAATTTGTGAACATGCTACAGTTCTAGCAAATACAGAGGCACCTGTGACACCATGTCACAATCTCACATCCTGAAATAATACAGGGTTTGTATGTAAATCTAAATTGTAACAAATAGAAGCAAGGGTCTTGGGTAAACTGACATTCATAATCTTCCTTCTGCCTTTAGAAATGTTTTGTCTGTATAGTAGTCATTTGAAGAAAAGAACTGTATTTCAACCAAATGCAATGGGCTTAATTCTACCTGAAAGGTCTGTCCATCCCTGTTAATTGTCACATGTTCTGTAATTACAGAAAATAGGCTTTGCTGCAGTACAGGACAGCAATCTGAACATCCATCTAAAGGGTGATTTGTTTTGACCAGATAGCTTTTGGAGGTTTATTTTAATAAATGTGTCATCTGATGCAATAGCTAGAGCAGGTGTTTATCTGTTGTGTGCAATTCTTATTTAGGTTCAGCATTAAACCTGTCATGAGTTACAGCAGTGATAACTGCACCAGCAAAACTGTCTTCTAAATAAGTGAATCATCTTGCATGGCAAAAGTCAGATACAGTGCCTGGCATGCTTTAGAGGCTTAAAATACTAAATTTTGGTCCTGCTGCTGACCACTTCAGGTACTTGTTTTGAAGGCTGAATCTCCAGTTTCCCAGAGGATGGAAAGTGGCTCCTTTTTGTACCTCTGTTTCATCAGGACTTTTCTTTTGTTTTACTTTCAGAATTCTAGTCCATTTGCAGAGCCTCGTTGCATGTCTGCATGATGAAAGGCTTCAGGTTCCCATGAGTTTGGATCACAAAGTAACTGATGACATCCTCAAGGCTTTTAACTGTCACCTGTTTCACAAATAATAGCAACAAAATAAACACCACCAAACAAAACATACTACATGTGTTTTAGTGAGAATGCATTTTTGAAAACATGCTGGCAGCCTGAGGTGCCTAGCAGTGTTTTTCAAACAACTAACACTGGATTTACATCTAGCATTTAGATGCTGTGAGGTTTAGGACAGCTCTCCACAACCAATGGTAACAACTTGAGCTTTGAATGCCCAACTCTTTCCATCAAATGAGTAAACAAAAAGGTTTAGGTCTATGTGCCCTTGTGCCATCAGCAGGTAGTTTAATTGCAGTTGCTTTTTCAAAACATTTGGATGTTTCTGGGGACATTGGCAAAACAAAGTCTCAGGGAAAGCGATGGGGGAAAAAAACACTTTCATAAACCATACAATGGGGACCAGGCACCCTTGACTACACCTCAGTTAAGTTAGTTTCATCTTTCAAAAAGTTTCAAGAAGTCAGCCATTACAGGAAAGCCGTGCTTTGCCCTTCGCAGAGAGAAAGTTGCACTTTGATTCTGTGTGATGCTTTCTGGATCCTGGCATTTTGAACTTCCTCTAGCTGAGAAAATGTGAAGCAATCTTGTTTTGTGGGTGGTGGTGGTTTGATTTTATTGTTGGTAGTAGGAGGAAGAGGTATAACGTGGGTGGTTTTTTTCTTACTATCCTAGTTCTTATGCTTATTCTTAATGATTAGGTTAGTTACACTAACGAGAGGCAAAATATCTATATACTTCTTTTTTTTCAAATTATAGTTAGGAGTTGACTCTCGCTTTTTTAATGTTTTGTGAAGAAGCGATTTTTACACCTGCTTAAGAATCTCCAGCAAGGAAATAGTTCATTTACCTGTCTTTCCAATTCAATAATGTAACTTCTTTCTCTGGACGTCACTCTGTAGTGCTTTATGCTTGGAGCACTGAAAGGAAATGAAATATAAGTCAACAGGCAGCTAGAAATGAAATAATGTTGTCATTATGAATTCTTCTGCAGGAGCAGTGGATGTGTGCTTTGTAATATCCCCAGAGTCTATTGAAGTGTGTGTGTGGCAGGGTGAGACTTTTGCTCTCCTAGGAGAGGAAACTAGGAACACTGGGATTTGCAAATGTCATTCCTGGTGTTTCAGAAGACTTGTTCTGAAGCTCTGCAAAGCTGGAATGTGGCAATCCAGTTAAAATAAGGTGATTTTAGATCAAGTTACTGTTAGAAAATATTTGTCTCTCATTTTCTTTTGTTCATTTCAGAAAGAGATACGGCCCGTTCAGTTTTATTCTCCATGAAGATTTCTTAAATTGGGCAGCATTTCAAGGGTAGGCAGCAGGTGGGAAGACTGTTCTCCTAAGGCAATAGACTTTTGGTGGCTGATCTTCAGTGCTTCTTTTTTAAATCAAGCTGACTTTGGAGGAGCAGAGGATTAATAGATTGGTCTCAGGCCCATCCCTGCTCGCCCACTTTTCTCAAAGTAGTCTGAAGGAGAGGCACATATTTCACATGTGTTTGGTGGGTATTGTAAGTTCAGCTTTCAATACAGTGCATGCTACTTAAGAATAGGGTAACGCGTTACGGAAGCAACCTACTCCAGCACATGTCGGACAGTGATTGCATAGTTCTTGCTGTCGCTGCCAGGGCGCAGGATCAAATTCCCACACAGTGGGTTATTTTCTAACATCTCTATTGCTTCTTTCCGAGATACTGCATAGAAGCACCTGCATAGAATGGAGAGGAGAAATAGCATGGATGCAAGTTACACCAGCAAGGCCACGTTATTCTCAGCTGTGCAAAGAAATGTTGTCTACCAGGTTAGCGCAGTGTCAGGCTTATCCAAGGTAATTAGCTATGGCAGCCAAGGGGCATGACATCTGGAGGATTTGTGGTGATTAATCTATTACAGGAGAGCAGTGCTTCACCCTTCTCAAAGAGAAAGTGGCACTTGGGTTCAGTGTGATGCTTTCTGGGCCCTTGCAAAGAGTGTGGAGACCAACCTGGATCTACCTGGAATTTCTCAATGGTAATCAGTATATTTTCAGAAGGTCCAGCATGTGGCTTTCTAAAAGGTTTATCAAGTGTAGCAATATTCTACATGCAGCCTTTTCAAAACAAAAGGCATTGTAGAAAAGCTGTAGAAGTAAAATTTCTGTTACGAAATCTCTGTAAAGGCCTTAAGGTAAATTTTGTTCATCGAATATTTTAAACCTTTGTACAACAGTTGAATTTTGAACCTGTTTATGAAAACAATTCTTGGAAAGAAGAAAGGAAGGCTCTCTAGTTGGACTGAGGTTTGCATATTTCAGTCAGAACTTACGCTGGCATAGCAGTTGCTGTGCAACTGTTGTCCTTGCTGGGAAGGCTTTCTTTATTCTGGGATGTGCAGGAACAGTCATTAAGCATAATCCTTCTTTTCTTTTCTTTATCTAGCACTTCATGTATTTTTGTAAGTTGTCCAGGTGATAATGACTCATCCAGTGGAACTGACAACTGAAAATGAGCAGCATAGTTGAAAATTAAAGACTGGACAAATGTGAGCAACTGTTTTCTGCGTGCAGAACAGCAACCTCCAGAGTGCAGCTGCCATGTGGTAGTCTTTTGTACCTGCTTGGTTAAAGCAGATATGGTAATTTGGAAGGTTTGTGTATACTTATGTTTTGAGTAAGATGCTGCGCATCTGTTTTTGTTAGAATAGCAGAATACATACACATCTGTACCTTCATTTACCAGAGATACCCACTAACAAAAGTGGGAACAATTATGTTTTGCTGTTGCTACACTATGAAATTTAACTTGTTTCACTTAACCTCAGCTTTTTAAGTGATTCAGCTACACCAGTGTAAACTCACCTGTGAACAAACTTTTCTCCTGAACGTTATTAGAGAAAGTCTTGCTATTTTTCAAGTGCATTCAGCATTTAAGGATGGGTTTACGTGAAATGATTGTAATACAGTTATTTTACAGTAAGTACTGATGACCTTTTTCAAAGCATGGAGATGACCCCCTGGACTCTCAAGCACTGAGAAAGGGGAGAAAAGTAGTTCATCAGTCTAAAGAGACTGAGGGGAAATAAATAAAGCCAGAGCTAGAATAATCTAAGTTCCTTCCTTCCATTTTTAAACTATTTCCGCTGACAAAACTGCTGCAGGTGTTGACTGCTAGACTAGTAGAAGGTGCCCCAAAGGAAGGACAGTGCTAGCTATTCAGAATAGGGAATCACTGGTTACATCTCTTCCTAAGTGCCCACTGGATGCTGATAGGAAATGAAGACTCTTGTTGTTTTTCCTGGTAGAGCATAAGGTAGGTCTCAGTGGGTTCTCTCAGATGTGCAGTTTAGCCATTTCTTTGTTTATTTCTTCATCCCTTGCTAAGTATTTATAGATGCTGTTTCTCTCAGCACATGCTCCTTTTCTCACAGATGCAAGGAGGTGGACTTGTGCGGATGTCTCTCCTTGCTAATAGTGGACTGGGAGCTGTTTGGATACCATGGCAGATGAGCTGAGGTGAAAAAAACTGAATTCTGCTGTCTTTGCAGGGAGGGGTGGGCATGTTTGTTTTGCAAGCACATTGGAAACAAGGCTTTAAGCCAACTTGTTGCATATATGAAGACAAAAAAGTCCTCATATGTGCTTTCAGTACTGAGTGAGACACAAAACTGTTCCCTACCTTTGTTACGGTGAGAATAAAACCCTTCCATTCTTTCCCATATTCACAGTTATCAGCCTAAGAGAATAGAAATTGAATGTAAGAACGACTATAGCAAAAAGAAGAACAAGTATTATTTTCATGTAAAAGCTCAGATAACTTTCACACATTTAGAAGTGCCTTGCCTGCAAATAAGCCTCCTGTCAAACTAAATCACACCCTCTGCACTTCCACTACTCCATATTCAATTATTGAGAGAGGATGGAGGTGGGAAGATGAAAACTCATGGGCTTTTTGGAATAAATGGAGCGGGTTGTGTTGATCCAATAGGAAGGCCGAGCTAAGGAGATAGGTGACCTATCCTAAACCTTGCAGGTAGTCCCTATCAGTCTACAGGTAGTCCCTACAGTCTCTAAGCTTTTGAATGGGGGTGAGGCACTGGTCAGATATATTATTACCCTTTTTATATTACAGGAGACCTGAGTCTGTCAGTGGGATACTTCCTGCTCTTTTTTTCTTGCATATTTTTTTGTTCAATTCTTTGCTCTATTTAGGTTCCCAGATGCTCCAGAGAAAACTGTCTAATGCCTGAAGGAGGATTTTTGCTGATGTTAGGTTCCTTAGTGCTGCCTCCTTCATTGACTGCCCTTTTGGCTACAGGCTGCCAAGAAGAAAGCTTTACTCCCACCTGGAGCTCTGAATATCTAAAGGTAGACAAGGTAGAGCACTAAGGGGTTATAAATTGTAGGTTTTCTCTTTTTACCTTCACTTCCAGTTTTTCATTCAGCAACATCAGGATGAACTGTGCAGAGTCGTTTTCATTTGGATAAACATTGCTTACTGAGGTCAAAGCTGATATATCTAGTTTGTGTGAGTACTAAGGAAACAAAGAAAAGGAATGGCACAAGTTGAAAAATTCACCAAAACGTAGCTGTTCTTCAAATAAATTTGTTTAGAAGAAAATACTGGGAAACTTTATTTTTTTGGCAGATGTTGGGTTAAGTTTCATTGAGAGACATTTCAAAGTCCTTTGTTTCTGCTTACAGAAACTTACCATCCACAACATGCTTTCTGGATTTTTTCCTTTCTTCTTAATTGCACATTAAAGACAAGAGACCTCCCCATGTACTTGCTTTCTCACTTCAGCAAAACCCATAGCCACAATCTTCCAATGGTTATACCAAGAACATTTTTCTCTGCTGCACAGAGGAAGGTCATACTACGCATCAAGATACTGTTTTTACCCTTGTGCACAACTGAGGAAGGAGTGTGCAATAATGTTATGGAGCAGCATGGATACATTTTTAGCTCAGGTAGCAAAAAAAAATCTTCCTTTTTGCTTTGATGAAACAGATTAACACTATTGTTTGCTTCACTCTGGCTTAAAAAAAAAAAAAGAAAAAAGAGCCTTCCTGTTGCTATGTTGAGTACTGGACTGTGTGGGTGAGGAAGGAAGGGCTGCAGAGAGCTATCTAGAGTACATGAGGACTGATTAATGAAAATAACTGAAGTACGTAATTCAATCTGCTGTTACAAAGACAGCATGCCACTCACCTTTGGTGCCTTCTTATCATCGTAAAAGAAGAGCATGGTTCCTCTCAGTTCTGTCCAAAACAGTCTAAATTCCTGTTACAGAGGAGGACATGTCAGTTCATCAAGACAATCTTTTTCATTTCCATAAAATGCTGAAAGAACTGCTATGAAAAAATGTCATTGTGTGCTTTTAAATCAGTTTTAAAGATCATTAAAGAACGAGTAGTTATTTGTTTTCTATGCAGCTTATGCAAAATGAAAAAAAAGTTTACTAGTTTTTTGCAAGTTAGAAAGATGCATATACTCTATTCTTTGTTGTCTAGTATCCTAGACAACAAACATTGTTGTCTAAAACAATGGCATCAAAGTAGAAAACTTTAATTGTAATGAATTTAAGTATTTTTAATATTAATCAATTTAAAGGGGGTAAGAAAAATATATTCAGTCAAAGTATCTATTTGCACATAACTTTGATCTCACCAGTTTACTTGCTGGACAAGTAAAGACAAGATAGGGGACAAGATCACAGAGCTTGTGAGTAGTCTGACCTACTAACTACGCTTCCTGTATATGAAGTGATATTTTGCGTGCTTTGTCTTCAAATTATGTGCAGTAGCATTCACTGCACATTGTGAATCAACACCATGACCAGGTAAATAAAATTGTCTCACTCTTCTTGCAGGTTCCAAAATATGTTCATACTCAAGTGAGGAAAGATTTCTCATTTTTCTCAATTTTTTTGTGACCAGTATCCCAGGAAAAGTAGTTCTCAGGGGACTGGAAACACAAAAGCGTAACACAGTTCTGAATGCTGTTCTAGTGTTCAGTTTCCTTACTTGTTGCTTGTTTCTTTATTTGAGGGATGTTGTTTGGGGATTTTCTTTGGCACAAAGTTGGAGATAGTCACAAAAACTGAGAAATAAATAACTTGTGAAATCTGCTAAGTCGTAGGAATTACAGTAAACAAATTTCTCCTGGAATATTTTGCAGGAAGTCCTTGCTCTCTGTCCTGCAACCCCTAACTAGTCTTTCTGCTCACACTACTAATGTAAGGTTATCTACAGCACTCTGCCTTTGGACCCCAACCTCTGAGCACTACAATGTGCTGCAATGGTGTAAATGTCCTCATCAAATCATCTGTCTCAAGCAAGTTAATGAAGTCAGTGACTGCTGTGTGCTGGGGCTGGATGTCATGGCAAGCTTTTGGATTGCGCCTTATAGACTTTGTGCTCTATGGAGATGCAGTAGCAGTTGCCCAAGAACATTTCCAATTGTTTCACTTATTCAAAAAAAATGTATTCACACATTTTTTTTTCCTTGGGTGTCTGGTTTCTCATAAATGATAATACACCTTGCTCATCTCATGTGAGTCTCCTCTACAGACTAGTCTGTGTTATTGCTATGTCCTGTTACTTTTTGCTATTTCATTATGGTAGTTAACCATATTTCAGAAGGAGGGATTTTTCAGGGAACAAAGGTTTTACATAGAAGGATACAAATACAGGACTGTAACAAGGAGTTTTATTTAAATATGAGGGTACTTCCATGCTACACTAAGGCAAGGCATTGAATAATTTTTAGTGCTGCAGAAAAATGAACGGCTTATTAATTGTCTCCTTTTGGTTTCTTGGAGTTTCTGTTTTCTCTGCTACTAGCTTGTTCCTGTATTTGTGAGCCACAGTGTTATTTCAGTTTCTTGACTATATCTCCTTTTTGCAGTGCACAACTAATTTTCTCTACTTTGTGCATCTGCTTCCATGGAGGTGTGAGTGTAGGTACAGTCCCTAAATGTTGGGATTGTCATTATCAAGTGCTAAAAAATGGCAATCAGCTTGATTGAGTCCATGCTCTGAGCGTGGTAGCACTGATTAAAAGGATGTGGGCATTTACCAGTTTGGGTTGTAAATAATTATCCTGGCTCAACAAATCATCATTACGCTTTGAAGGTAGTCCACCTGTGTGGAATCAGCAGCTCACTGCAACAAGAAAAAGGAGGCACAGCAGAGCTAATACATATCATGGTGGTGTGGTGCTGAAGATTTCGGGATGAATACTCTTCTGTAGAAAACAGATGATACATTGAAGCAATATAAACATCCAAACTGTCTTGGTATTTAAAATACTGCATTAGATTTCGCTGTGGTGGTAGCTATGAAATTGGTTGAGAGCAATCCATGTTTCAGTAAGTATGTGATCATCATAATATTATAATTCAGTAGGTAAATTATAAATGGGATCCAGGAGAATACTGATGGTTACCTTGTGTAACTTATTTTAATTTTTTGTTTGTTTGTTTCCTCAAGTAATTTGAGATGAGATGAAAGCGCAAACTAAGCTAGATATAATTATTTCAGCACAACTATTTGCATTGGCCAGCACCGAGCAGCATTTCCCACCACTATCAGCAGAGGATTAGCACCTAGCAGGAATCTGAGGAAATGCCCAAACATGTCAGCTTTGTGGGCTGGTGCAGCTTACCTGGCACTGTGAGCGCCGCACTGACAGGTAACCTTGGAAGTACAAGGGCAGACCTGTGAGCTTCTGTCTCTCCTGGGAGATTCGTCTGGGTGCTGCCTGAGGGGCTTCTGCAGGCTGCTCCATGCTGCTCCTCAGTAGCCTCTAGATATCAGTTCTGCTGTTTGGTTGTTGGTTTCTTCTGCCCGTTGTTTGCTTTTAATTTTTAATTTTTTATTTTTTAAACCTCCTCCTTCCACTCCTGTGCTTGTTTGCTCTGTGTCAGCCTCAGCCAGAGAGCTCATCCTGGTGAGGGGAGGGGGGAAAAAGCAACACCTCAAAGAGGAAGTCTCAATGCTTTGCTTTTAGGTCAGCAGACATTTCGCTCAGTGCATAATCCTCAGGGGAACCAGACCAAGTGGATTGAAAGGATCTTTTCTTGGGATTTTGTTGCTTGGGTTTGCTCAAAGGTAAGCATTCAGATGATACCGCGTAATAGCATAAGACTGCATCACTTCTGTGAGCAGTGTCAGCTGGAGGTGGTGGCAGAGCAGCCCTGCAGGCAGGGAGACTGGTTTATAAGTGGCTTTTCAAAGATTTGAAAGACTGGATGTCGTGCTGAAAAGACTGGATGTTGTGTTGAGGGACATGGTTTAGTGGGAGCTATTGGTAATAGGTGAACGGTTGGACTGGATGATCTTTTAGGTCTTTTCCAACCTTGGTGATTCTATGATTTCCTTGGTGAATGTGTTATGAAGTTGAAGATATCAGAGTTGGAATTTCTATAGGGTATGGTATGCCAACAGTAGTACTGGTATGAAGCTTACAGTTGTGTATGACCGCTCAGGATAAATCAACTTTGCAACTTGCATGTGGGAAAAATATTTCTTTCTGAAAGTGGTGATAAATCAAAGCCTTAAGAAAAAAAAAGAAGTGCAAAGAGAGGCTTAGGAGCGAAATGTTGGCCTTGCTGAACTGAGGGGTGACATTTCCATTATTTTCCTGCAACATTTATGTTTCAATTTGTTTCTGACCTTCCCTATAGCATTTAGGAAGGATAGGGATGACTGCACTTGGCACTTCCTGCTTGTTGCTGCTAAAAACAAAGCTTTCATCCAGCCAAAAGGTCATGTGCTGAGTAGGTCAGGTCCCTCATTTGGTTTAAAAAAAAATTACAAAAAATCTGCTTTAAAGTTTTTAATTATCTCGTCAACCTGTTCTCAACCCCAGCAGGTTTGGTATACCTCCTCACAGCCTGTGGAATGCTGACACTGCTGTGAGGTTTCAGATGTTCTGCTATAGAGGAAAAACAACCTTCTCTGGGCAGAACCTCAGCTGGCTGAAGACTGAATTAATTGCCAGGGATCAAGTGGGGCAGATCTGTGTCTCAGGTTTTGGCTACATGTCAGTGAGCACATTGCTGTACTTGTGGTTTTGTTTAAATGGCAGAATGTCACTTCGCCACCGAACGATGCAGGACAGATAAAGGCGTGCATCCGCACGTTCCAATTCTCGTTGACCATGACGGAAATCTTGCGCACCGCCCCATTCCCTCCCCACAGAAAGGCGGTGGGGAGTGCAGGAAGGCCGCCCTGTGGCTTCTGCGCAGGCGCAGCAACGGCCCTCAGGACTTAGGAGCCGCGCGCGCTCGAAGCAACCGCCCCGGTTGGCGCGAGGCGGACGCCGGCCAATGGGGCGAGGCGGCGGGGCGGGGCGGCGGGCGCCGGCCAATCGAGCGAGGCGGCGGGGCCGCCGAGGTTTGAAAGCGGTGAAGTTGAGGGGAGGGGCCGGGGGCGGATGGGTGCCGGGAGCGTTTCGGCGGCGGCGGCGGCCCGGGATGGCGGAGCGCTTGGTGAGAGGGCGGGGGGAGCGCGGCCCGCGCGGCTGGCGGCCTCCGGGCGCGTTGGTAGGGGGTAGGGAAGAGCAGCGGGGCCGTCTCTCGGGGCTGGGACGCACTTTTCTCCTCAGCGCGCTGTCAGGGACGGGTGGGCCCTTCCGCCCCCCCCGCGCGTTGCGGCCGTGGGAGCGCAGTGCCACTCCTCAGTGGCAGCGGCCCCGCTCCTCTCGGGCTGCGCGGCGGGGCCCACGCTCGGCGCCGAAGCCTTCCGTGGGTGGGCTAGGGTTAGCTGGAGGCGCCGGGCGTGCCGCAGCTGTTCCTCCTCTTGCGGCCCTGTCAGAGGAGCGCGGGGGTTACGTTTGATAAGACCTTTATATGTGAGCGGGCTGCGAGGAACTCAGTTCTGTGACTGAACAGGAAAGAAGGCGGTTTTGCACTAAGCGTCTCCAAACTGACAGCATCTCGTCGGTTACCTGAGAGACACAGTGGTTCTGCGTGCTGTGTTAACTGTACGCTGAACGGTGACAGTGGGATGTTTCTTACTTTATTAATATTACTTTGGTTGCTTCTTTGGTTTTTGATTACCGTAAGTAACATCTAAAGCTGCTTAGAAATGTGACTGGGGTTTGTCTGTTGCTTTTAAGACTTGCTGGTACTGACTTTGGGTAAACCAGGAATCTTTGAGACTTGTTTACACATCAACCAGGAGGCTGTTGTCATTTGTCAGCGGCATGCTTAGTAACAACTGATTCTTATTTCTTAACAGGATCACTTAAAACAATACTACCGAGCGAGATTCTGTGGGCAAGGAGGGTAATTTCCCTTTATGATTTTAATCGTAGATACATTTGGTTGGAAAAGTTGGTATCTTTAAGTGTAATGGCAAAACTAATGGTGTGTCTTAAAGACATGGTTTGCAGGAGTGGAGCTGATGGGTGGTTGGACTGAATAAGCTTAGAGGTCTTTTCCAACCTTAATAATCTGAACTGATTTAATGATGTTTCCCAGCCTTCTTGCGTTTCTTAGTGGAGGGAGAGGCAAATTGTTCTGCACTCCAAAGTGCAAAGGATTTCCTTAGTGTTTCTCTGTGGCAGTGGTGGGCTATGGAGTATATAAATGTTAAGATACCCCAACTGAGCTACCAGAGTGCAGCTGCAGCCATCTGCAAGTGCTCTGACTTTCAGGAGGGAGAGAAAGTGAGGCCACATGGAATTCCAGCTTAAGGTATTTGGTCCTCACTGGTAAATGTGGAACATGAGTTTGGGTATTTGCAGTGCTGCAAAGAGCTTTTGAGACATTTCTGAAGTCATCAAGCTTTTTGTTACTGGAATCTATTTCTGGATGTGTGTTTCATGAGCTTACCAGATCTGCCAAATTACTTGTTTTTATGGATGTTTAATAATTATGAATATTTATGGAAAATAGCATGTGGTGTTTTTCTTCTTATTTTAGTTTTGATCTCCGTGGGCCAGCTGTTAGATTACTTCTGCTATTTTTATTTGTCCGAGGGGAGGGGGGGGGATTTGAAGCCAAGCATCGAAGTTGTTCTCTAGCTTGCAGTTTGATGCCCTAAGTCAGTTCCTGCTTTCAGAGCTTTTACAGAGGTGTAGAGTAACTGCAGGTAAATGTAGGAGGAGAAGCAAAGGATGACTCCTTGTCTGAAGGGATAGACTGCAGACTACACATCTTATTTCTGGGTCTGCTGAGGCTGGATCACCATGCAGGCAGAATTACGTCAGGACCGATTATTTTTTTTTTTTAATTATTTATTTTAAAACAGAGTCTCTATTCATAGAATCATTAAGTTTGGAAATGACCTCTCAGCTCACCCAGTCCAACTGTCAGCCCATCCCCACCATGCACTTCCCAGAGCTCTTTTACTTGAAGCCTATTGCAATAATTGTATGTTTTATTCTTTGGGGGTTATTTCCTCATTCCCAATATGTTTAATGACAGAGCTTTTTGTCTTCTGAAATCACAGTGTAAAGTATTAACTAGTAATAAACTGCTTGCTGGAATAGGTGTATTTAGTATTCTTATTTTTAAAATGTGTCTTTTTTCATCTTTCTAGAAAGAAGATCAATATACAGCCTGGTGAAAATGTTCTGAAATACATACAGGATTGTTTTGAATGTGAGCTTTTATTTGGCGTTGTGCTTAATCTGCTGGTTAGAGCATTGTTTCTTTCTTGTACTGTATGTAGTAATAAATAAATAGACATTTAAAAAAAAAAAAATAAAGTTGATAATATTTCTCCTAGTCTTCAACAGTTCCCCCTTTGCAGCCCTTTGAAACCGGGTCTAAGCTGTATGATTCCAAGTATCCCTTATCGCTTTTTCTTTGTAGGTGATGATACTGATGTCATTGTAAGCTCTCCAGAAGCAACCTGTTTCTCAACTCCTCTTGTCAGAAACCAGGAGAGGACTTCAACACAGAGCCCTAAGGTAAGTTGGACCTACCTTTTATGTGATCTGATAGTGACAGGACAAGGGGGAACAGCTTTAAACTAAAAGAGAGGAGATTTAACTTAGATGTTAGGAAGGAATTTTTGATTCATATGGTGGTGAGGCACTGGAACAGGCTGCCCAGAGAGGTGCTCGATCAAGGGCAGATTGGATAGCAACCCAAGCAGCCTGATGTAGTGGCTGGCAACCCTGCCCATGTTGGCAGGGAAAGTTGGAACTGCACAATCTTTAAGATCCCCTTCCACCTAAGCCATTCTGATTGATTGCGGTGCTATCACAGCGTAGTGCTGGGTGCAGCTTCACTTGGGTGCACATTTGGATGTGTAGGATTGATTTCAGTATGAACGTTGAGTGAATAAATTCTGTATGTCAAAAATATCAATGTATAGGCTATAATGTTCTGTAATATTTGCTGGTAATGATTTTCCTTAGTTTGTTGTACTGAGACAGTAAATAATCTCTCACAAGATTTATTTAATGGCCTTTTTTCAGATTTTACTGAATTTTTTTCCGACTTTCTGTCTGAGATAGTTACATTTCTTGTGCTCTCATACTGAAGCACACTATCTTATAATTGATGGTGGGTATGGCTGTCATGGACTCCTTTGGGGTTGGTTTCAGGCACTTTACCAGATGTATGGACACAGCTCTTAGCTGTCAGGTGGAGAGGGTAACATTGAGAGACAATTCTCCTATGAAAGGGACTTGTTAGCTCTTGACAAGCAGTCAGTATCTAAAAAATAACTTAGTAGCTTGGAGGAGTGGACAGACTTGTTGGTTTATTGTCTAAAAGAATGATGGGAATCTAGTTTTCTATCTAGTTTTGATGCTTTGATCTAGTGTTTATCCAGTAGGATATTCTGTTAATGGCATCAAAATGGGCGGCATTTATATTGGCATTTGTTTATTTCAGTCTGATGTTAGAATACTGAATAATCTCAAGTTTTTCT